CTTTGAAGCAAAGATGGAACCAAGCTTGTGTAAGAAATGGGAATTTTGTTTGCTCTCACTCATGCACTGTGGGGTAGGAACTATAACATTCCCATTATTGTGCATTGGCACTGCTAGAAACCATTTATTCTCCATTCACAGGGATAGTCCTTTGTTTTAGAAACATGTTCCTGGTTATGTCACTGTTTTAATTACAGTCAGATGCCTAATAAACTTGTATACTTTTGTGCTTTGAATATAATTTTCACAAGCATATTATTTGGATTTTGTGAGAAAATATTTAAGGAATAGCTATGGAATAGCTCCTAATGACACATGCCTCTAAATACCTATTAATCTTCGGTGTATGCATCTATTCTGAAACTCCAACTAAAATTAATTTTTTTTGATTGGGGAAGAATAACAACCTCTGTCAGTTTTTTTTATTGTCTGCGTTTCCATTGCACCTTATTTCCTGTTTAATTGTCGTTATGGGAAATGAGTGGAATCTCCTCACTGGGGACACAGACAGCAATAATTAAAAAAAAAAAAAAAAATACTTTTAGTTAATATTTCACTTTCAGATTTCATTAACTGAAAGCAACATTGATTATTTTTTTCTATTACTTATGCTTCTAGAATTAGTAAATCGTTAGGAAATTATATCATATTTACTGGTTTCAAACTTTTTTTTTACATTTTCAGTTACTGCCTGGTTTTTAGGCCTAGGCAATTAATGTCATACAGCCCAGGAGTGTTCAGGAGGGAATGAGGGTTATTTTTTTTTTTCAGCAAAGCCACCAGGAAGTAAATGCTACATGAATCATATGTCTTTATTCAAGATGACCACAGCCAGAAATGCTAGGGGGGTGGGGTTCAAAGTGATATCTCAGCAAAATAAAGCACAGAGATATGGATGGATTAATTTGCTTTTAACAGTAAAAATTAAATAAAGAATATGTAAACCCAACATTTCATATTCCTGATATGTGTCTTCTGTATCATGTACTTGTATGAAAAAAGTATCCTGTTCACTTTGTATTGCTTCCTTTGTGTGAAATCCCGGTACTTGTCTGTTAATTCACCGGATTTATTTATATATATAAATATATATATATATATATATATATATTTTTTTTTTATATATATATATATATATATAAAAAAAAAAAACATATAAAAAAAAATATATTTATATATTTATATATATATATATATATATATATATATATATATATATATAAATAAAAATCCGGTGAATTAACAGAAAAGCACCAAAATCCCTGCTGTTCCTACCAATCCCTCTGCTTTCCTATTACTGATCACACTAAGCATGAAAACACAGTGCACTCTAAATGGCCTAAATACTCACCAAAATCCATGACTTGCAGGATCCTGTGTACTCTTTCTTCAGGAGAGTGAGAGTACTCCATAAGGAATTTATATTACTTCTCGATAATGGATACTTCTCATTAGCTGATCATCAGTAGGGTCCTCACAGATCCTGAAGATTCCAATGGAGGCCTGGTGACATCATGGCAAGAAACCTTGTTAATAAGATTGGTTGGCAGTGGCCTGGACTGCAACTTTGGATCATCAGATTTCACTCCTGGTGTATTGAAGCATCACATGACAACATATCTAGGTAAGTTAAAATGAGTTTAGAAAACCAAAATTGTTTGTTACTGTTTTCTTTTTGTTATTTTGTTTTCAGACAGTAAGTGTACAGAGATTAATACGTTTACTAAAGCTGTCTAAATTGTTGCCACTGTGCATAGAAACAAATCGGCTTCCAGATGTGATACAAATACAATTGGAAGATTTGGTGTTTACTAACACATTGGGGGACGTATTTACTAAAGCTGGAGAGTGCAAAATTTGCTGTTGCCACTGTGCATAGAAAAATGCAAATCGGCTTCCAGCTTTTATTTCCAGAGCTTGACTGAACAAGCTGAAGTTAGAAACTGATTGGTTAAGCATGCACAGCCTGCACCAGATTCCATGAGTGCTCCAGTTTTAGTTTTAGTAAATCCCCCGTGTTGTCTACAATATTATACATTGTGCCTGTTATATACTTTAAAATTCTAAATAAAATTTGTAGAAAATAATAGGTTTCGTAAAGAAAATAAAAAACAAATTGTAACATTTAACCCGCAGCAAATCCATTTTATGAATGCAGTTGCAAAAGTGAGGCTATTGCCAATAGAAGCTAATTTGATGCTCCAAGTCATCCAATTTTGCTCCAGCTTTCATGAATCCACCCTATATCCACAAGATAAGAGCATATCCTTCTTCAGATTTTTTCATCTTTGTCCAAAAGAAGAAAAACAGTTACCATGTAATTTTCAGTTATAGGTAATGTAAAAAAGCTGGGTCATGTTGTAGTGTTGGCTTAGAAAATGATTTCTAGCCTGTAGTCTGTGTTGTGTTGCTTGGCCATCTGTAAATATGTGACTGCTGATTGATGCTAAGCAAGACGCTGTCGCTTCAAAGGTTGTCTTTTGCTTTTAGCTAATTGTAACTACAAAACACAAAGGCCGTGAACACTGTGGAATAAAGCGGGGCGAAAACTCATAATACACAAAACCCTTTAGGGGACTTGTCTAACTGTCCTGATAATGTCAGATAAAAGCTCTGGGAGGACATGAAATCGTGTAAACATCCTGTATGATGCATAATCTAGACTGTAGCATGAGATAGACAGCAAGTGACTGCTGTAATTCAGATGTAGACATGAAAAAGAGATTAGAGAGGTGTCATCAGTGCACTGTGCAATGTAGAGCACAACCAGCATGGGCTGCAGTTTTATTGCTACATGCAGGCAGATCATAATGACCACAGGGGTGATGAATCCAGGGAGCCAACGCTTTGCCATATCCAAGCAAAAAAAATCTAGAAATATTGTGGATAGTCTGCTGACTAAGCAGCCTGTAGCCTAGCTGTCTTTTAAACATGCCAGAGGAAGTGTCAGGACAAAATGAGTACAATAATCTGTGTCTTCAGCAAGGGAAATTGAAATCGTAATACCCAGTTATAACGTGTCAGCCTCCTATAAGGCAGTAAAGCTTTTATGATAAACTGATGATCTTTCCTCTGTATAAAAGGCCTGCTTTACATTCCGTAAAAATGCTAAATACAGTTATAAAAACATTTTCAGGTTCCAACAGTTATTTGCCTTTGCATGTTGGTATACAGTATATGATTAGCTGCTATAAAGTAATAAAAAGCTTTCAATATAGCCTCTCTCCAGCTTGTAGGGCCCTCACCTGCATTTATTGAAAACAGAAAAAAATAGACATATGCATACTTTTCTTATAAGGTCTTCGGGCCAGTGACGTTACTGGTCCTCCTGTCTGTCTGGTAGTGGTAGATATTTCTTACTCCAGCACTGAATGGTGCTCCAGCTGTGACAAATGAGTTTCATTCAGTGCAGTAGTATTGTGAGTCCTGGCCAGTGTGATGGCAAACCCTGGGTGATCTAAGGCTGGCCATACATTATACAATTATCTGCAGATGTGATTTACCAAAAACCATATAATAGGAGGACAAACCCTTAAAGGGGCCCTGTATTGAAGGTACTAAAGGAAATGGGCAGAAAATCTGCAGGTAAATGTAGAGTAAGACAGCCTGGGCTGACAGGAACTAGAGTGACTGGTGCTGGGTGTCATTCAACTTGGAGGAGAAGCCACATCCCTTGGAGGAATGGACTTTCTTTGGGAATCAGCTCCAGATTAAAGGTGAGTATGGCAGTGAAAGGTGTTCTTTTTATTGGGTTTTATCTTGTACCATATTACTTTGTATGTATAAAATCTATTCAATTGTGTGTGACTATCTGTGATTCTATGGGTCAGCTCTTTGGCACCACAACAAACTCGTTGGAAAGCCTTTTTGTAGTATTTCCTTGGCAAATTTTTATGAGGTAGGTTGCTCTATCTTTCCTCAACCCTCCCAAATTGCTCAGGCTTGGAACTGCCATTCACAATGTGATAACTCATATGCATAGCCAATTTGGACAATAATACTACTGATACATACGTGCATCAGGGTCAGCTGTCGTCAGTCTGTGCTGGAATAGCTGCATCGGAAGACAGGGGAGACATTGGGGGACTAATCTTTCCATAAAGAGGACCTGTCACCTGCCCGTGCTGTTACATATGGGGCTTTTTTGTGATAGCAGTAAATTTAAAAAAAAATGTAAAAAGTGTAAAAAATGTAAAGCACCCTGTAACTACCACAAACATTCCAAATGAAAATTGCAGCGTAGGGCGGACATATATAAGTAACATTAATTGTGCCACACATGTCAGGTATCGTCACAAATGTTGAGAGAGTGAGAGCAATAATTCTACTGTTGTGCAATATTGTTGCGCTGTTCCTTTAACCACTTGCCCTCCTGAGGATTGACCCCCCTTCCTGACCAGGCCATTTTTTTTTGCGCTATGGCGCTGCGTTACTTACTGATAATTGCATGGTCATGTAATGCTGCACCCAAATTAAATTTACATCCTTTTTTCCCATGAATTGAGCTTTCTTTCTGTGGTATTTGATCGCCTGTGCGTTTTTAATTTTTTGTGCTATAAAAAAAAGACCGACAATTTTGAGAAAAAAACAATATTTTTGATTTTTGCTATTAACCTCTTCACGCCGGCCGCACACAAATGTGCGGGCTCCCGGCGTCTGGGCCTAGACGCTGAGCGGCCGCACATTTGCGTTTCTATTAAAAAAGGACATATGTGCTGAGAGCGCGCGCCCTGCGCGCTCCAAGCACACATGTCTGGTACTCTCGAAAAGGTCCCAATCTCCTATTTCAATCGGGACCTTTCCCAATTATGTGACCACCTTGACGGCGTATCACGGCAGTCACATGACCCTAAACCCCGCCCCGCCTCCCGACTTCTGGAACCCTTAAAGGGCCGGGAGGCACCGGCGTGAAGGGGTTAAAATGTCCAGTAAAAAATGTAAAAATCTAATTTCGTCATAAATTTACACCAAAATGTATTCTGCTCCATGTCTTTGCAAAAATAAATCTCAATACATGTAAATTAATTGGTTTATATGAAAGTTATAGCGTTTAAAAATGGCGGTATAGATACTGGAATGTTTTATTTTTTACTAGTAATGGCGGCGATCATCAACTTATAGCAGGACTGCGGCGGGCATTCTGACACTGGGGGGAACTGACTTGGTGTCACTGACATCCCTAGTGATACCAATACAGTGATCAATTCTAAATAAAAGCACTGACACTGTACTAATGGCACTGGGCAGGAAGGCGTTAAGATGAGGGACGATCAAAGGGTTAACTGTGTGCTGGGAGTGTTTTACTGGGGGGCAGTGTGTTGGTGCTTTCACTGTAAGCACATTGCTCTGGATGGCTGTGCATCCCTCTAGATTGTAAGCTTGAAAGAGCAGGGCCCCTCGATCCCCTCATGTTTTGCATTGTATTGGTATTGTTCTGTCACATGTTCTGTCCCCTTTGTAATGTACACGTGATTTTGCGCTGAGTGAACTATTGGCGCTTTATAAATACTGTATAATAATAATAATAATAAATAATCCCTCTTCATCAAAAAAAAGGAACAGGATGTGGGCTCCATGTAGTGAGTCTGTTCTCAACCGTGACCGAAGGCTCACTATCAGAATGATTGCAGAGGTCAATTGTTCATGAAATCGTAAGATTTGAACATGAGAAAAGTGTGTGCAAAACTCGTTCCAAAGAACTCGTCAACTGATTAGAAGGAACACTGTCAACTCGTTTGCCAAGATTTGTTGGCCCATTTGGAAAGACAGCCTGATTTTTTGAGTTGAGTGTTCACGGGAGATCGATCCTGGGTGTTTGAGTATGATCCCAGGACAAAGAAACAAAGTTCAGAATGGCAGACACCCACATCACCTCACCCCAAAAAAGCTTTAATGAGCAAATCAAACGTCAAATCAATGGTCACAGTGTTTTTTTTATTCACGTGGAATTGTCATAAGGAATTTGTACCCATTGGTCAAACTGTGAATCAAAGATTTTACCTTGAAGTTCTTGGTCGCTTGAGACAAATCGTTTTTTTTGTGCATCCTGAGATTGGCTCAACTTGGATCCTTCATCATTACAATGCACAGTCACAGTGCTTTGGCTGTCAGAGATTTTGGCTGAAAAAGGCATCAAGGTGCTTCCCCATCCACCCTACAGCCTCAACGTGGATCCTTGTGACTTTTTCATATTCGCAATTATGAAGTAGGGTTTGAACAGGCACCATTTTGGTAGTGTGGATAACGTCCAAAGAGACACAATACAGGCTTTGAATGCCATCCCACTTAACCTCCCTAGCGGTCTGATTATGTCCATATTTCTGTGCTCAAAGCGGTACATTTTTTTGCATGGAAATATGTTTTTTTTTATTGTAGGCCATTCATTTTTAGGAATAACTCACTGAAATCTGTCCGAACAAGAGTCTAGTAAACATCCCGGGTATGTTACAATTTGAAACACGAAATCATAAATTATAATTTAATAAATAATCATAAAAAATAATAATATAATAATAATAAATTTAATTCAATAATATAATCAAACCAAAAACACTGACATTGAAATATAGCGCCGAGTTCGCACATCACTGAGCAAAGTCGCAAAATCGTTTTCAGTGTCTGATGATGAATTTCCCCACGAATCATTATCACTCAATTCTGCAAGTGGTTCTAATTTACTATTGCTGTTCTCTAGCTGGTCAAAAACCGCTTTTGACCTAAAGGGACGCTTTTTGGACTCCATGGACATTTCTCTCAGTTTCCAGGCAGAAAGAACAGTAAAAATGCAGGCAGGGCGCAGGACAAAGCACTCGGGACAAAATGTATGTGAAATGGTTTGATACAGTAATGTTTTACTATGTGATATTAGTGTATTTAGTGAATGTCACATTTGTCATTTTCAAATTTCCCGCCGTTCCATCCCCGTACGTCCTGATGCTCGCAATCACGTGTCCTCAATCCAATCACGTTATTAAGAGCTAGCTGCTGTTCCTGCATGAATTGAACATCTAATATTATTTCTCTCTCTCTCTACAACACTGCACTAGAACTGACCCAGCCAAACATGAAATAGAGATGGTGAAAGGTAGATTGCTGATCACCGACTGCTCTCAGTGAGCGAACTTCCTGTCTATGGGTAGACTAAGGCAAGAAGACAGACTAAATAGTCCATAGTATGATTTTTTTCTGGAGGGGCCATACATCTTGAAATTTTAAGAGTATTTTGTTACAATGAGGATACTCCTAGTAAAAGTTTTTTCCGGCTTTATCACAGATAACTTCCATGCTGATTGGATACAATTTTTTTTTTTACTGTATGTTTTGCTGAATATGCATATATACAACCCTGCTATCTGCAGATGGACATCTTTTTGGACATTGTTTCTAGGTACCTTTTAAGTTTCTTTATGTGAGCCATAGACTGACTTCTCCAGAGTAAATATTTATTCAGCAAACAATGTCTCATCTGCTTTGGTTTCTTCCATTATTATAATTAAATCACTTCCTATGTCTAATAGTAGTTCTGTTTTTTCTCTGTCTTTTTTCCAAGCACAAAGCTTCTCCATGGATCCCTCACTACCTGTATATGCCTATACAGTATACATATGTCTGCTTGCTTGAATTGCTTATTAAATATTTAACATTGTGCATGAATCCAAGACTTTTTTGGGATTTTCAGTGATCGGTCAAAAGTGTAAAATTATTTGTATGGCTTGAACCAAGAATACATCCCTTGTTTTCTTTAATTTGCGGTAGAGGTGAACAGAATCTTTCAATTCCAATGTGGACCTGAAATAAAAAAGTGTAGATTTGCTGTGTTAGTTGGATCACCTAGAAATGTGCCTAAGCAGTATTCTCGTGAATGTGCTTATTCATATTAAACATCAGTGTACTTCTTGTGCATAGGCATTTCTATGCCTTACGTCTTATAGCTGTATATTTGCAGTGTGAGAATGCTTAGGGAACCACTGTTTGTGATCACTATTCTCACCAGATTTGGAGTGAGATTTGGAGCTGCTTACTGTTCTCCTTGCTGGAGAGGAAGCTGTACTAGAAGACCTGTAGTGCAAGGCTCTCCCAGCTTTTGCTTCATCCATTATTTGAATGTGCGCTTTCTGAAAACTTTTAGCTGCTTTGTGAATATTCCCAAGCAGTCATTAAAGGGGGTGGCTCTAACATGGGCAAACAAAGTCCTGCTTCAGATTTGCCTCCTGGTGATTACTGGTGACTAGCCCTTTAAGAAAGCAAGTGTGTATAGCATTGTATTTTATTGTAGGGCTTATTTGTTACTTAGTTTTCTACTCTATATAATGACTTTAAACTCTACAGCAAAGAAGCTCTTTGTTCTATATATCTTGTTTTTGACAACAGCTAACAAGTCTTGAATAGATGTGCGCCATTTGGATGCTTAGGCTATATCTCTGCTGTAGTAAGCAGGGTAATGAACAAACCACCCATGATTTGCAGTGAAAGCAGTGACATATACATAACTTCTATCATAAGAAGACAATGTTCTACTAAACAAGTCATACATAGACTGAGTATTATGTTCCCAGACAAAAATCCATACTCATAATAACAGTTTAATCAGTCTAGTATTCTGTTATCCTCTGGAGGCCATCCAACTAGTAGGATGTTGGAGATCTAATCAGCTGTATAACAGATTTATTAATAGGGACGCACTAAAAAATGGATTTATTGTGGACTGTTATTGCTTTAATTTTCTGCACTTCTCAGACCAGCTTTTATTGCAGCCTGGAAACTGCAATTAATACAATATTCAAATGGTTGTCCATGAGGTAATATATATAATGCTTGTTGTTCGTTGACTGGCAAAAAAAAAAAAAAGTGTCAAGATTAATGATTACACCTTTCCATTTAATGGCTTTTTGAAATGACAGGAACCACATTTTCGTGAGGTCGACTGAAAAGTCAGAAGTGAGTAATTAATGAAATCATTTAAAGGGGTTGTGCATGGTGACTCTGGGGAAATGACTGCTGAGAGGTCAGGCTTGGCATGCTGCATCTGTAGAAGATTGACTTTATGCATCGCAAAATGAAGGGGTCTGTACACCCCCAGGGATGGCACTCTCAGGGCATGTCAATGTGCTTTCACAATTTCCCAACATTTGGCTTTTTCTCCATTAAGAGAAAAAAAATGATTGTATGATGGGAAGTAAAATAATGGTGACCTATTATACAGCACTGCTTAAATGAATAATGACAGCCTTCAAGGTTCTACCAGCCTGGATCTATACATCCCAATAAGGGTTTAAATCCCATTCTCAGATAAAATAGAAAATGTAAGTGAACAACCTATAAACAGATATCCACTGGAAAGAGGTTGGGAACAGCTAGAAGTTTAGAGTTTACCCTTTATTAATCAGATGTGTTTTGACTATTCACTGTATATGTAGAAATGTTCAGTCAATCAAATAATACCCCTACCACTGTCCATTACTACATTTAGTTATTCGCCTATTTTGATTTAGTTGTTAGTGCACATGACTTCAACCCCCCCCAAAAAAAACATAAACCTCCATCATTGTGTACTAGGTGTGTTCTAGTGCCTTAAATGAAAAGCTGCACTGCTGTCCATCACTTCTATACCTGCTGCTGCAGAGTCCCCTGCAAATACTGACTGTTCCTGAAAGTCACTTCTTGAATATTGCTAAGCCCCCTCCCCCCGCCTCCCCGTGTGACTGTGCTTAGGCCTGGCTATTGGCTCTTCAGGCACCAAGCACTGCATTATGGGAGGGGCACTAATATGCTCTCTGATACTTGGAAGCAGGGGAAGACAAGGCTGGGGGGCATGGGGATACTTGCCAACTGGGCTAAGGGTCTGATGCTCTGCTCCCCTATATAGATTCCAGTCAGATTGGGACCTGCATTAACTATTAGCTGCTGGATGTTATATAGCTACCTGCACCTTGTTCAGACCTGCAGATGGAAGTCTTCCAGCTCTGACTTCCTTAGCAGCTCTGAGATATTATACAGCTAAATTCAGGGAGCTTAAAGGTAGTCAATGCTGGAAGGACACAACACTGTAAAATATGTTGTGCTTGTTTGTTAAAAGTATGGTATGCTCACCTAGA